GCAACCCTCAGATTACGAGTCGAGTGCCTTAACCACCGGGCCCCGCTTGAAGAGGTACCTCGTTCGTTGCAGAGAGATGCAAAAGTTGGAGCACCTGAAACCGAAGGTACTCCTTATCAAAACTCTGCCTCATAGCCCTGCCTTAAATTTAGGGGTATACCTCATTGGTTTTACTTTATTAATAAGTAAAACTAAGTCACGAGTTTGAACATCCCACCATAAAAATGGAACATAGTTATCTATGTAATCCAAGTACTGTACTTAACTGTATTCATATTTTTCTTCTGCATTCGCAATTGATAAAGGTTAGACTTTGAGCAAACGTGAACAATTTTTGTTTATATTTTTTTCTTGGGACATGTTGTCTTTACCCCTGGATTTGATAGGAAATAGGTTATAAGTTCTATGAAAAATGAACTGACATGCTTCTGAAAATTTTTGAATTGTTGAATGCTAATGTAACTTAATCAGACTCCGTAAACTGGTTAATCCACGTAGAGGTTCTTCATATGTTCCTGTTTTGGTATTAGAAATGTATCAAAACCTTGTATTTTGTATCCTGAATAAGTTTGAATTCACAAATCATAACATGCGTCTTTGTACGTTTTTCTGTAATTATTTACAAAATATATTTCTGGTAACTAATTATTTCTATCCTAAAAGTGTAGGGATTATTTCTCATAAGGTAAATATATATATATGATAAATACGTTGAAATTTGTTCAAATATTTACCGTCTGTAGTCAAAATAGCTTGGCACAGTTTTAATGATATATTATTCTTAATAACATTCATTTTGTAGTAATTATATTATTAATGTCCATAAAAGCAATATCTTTATCTCCTGGGTAGATTTGCTTCAAACCATTGAAATATTGAGTTTCACGCGTACTTTACGTTTTAAATTATCTTCAGTTTTAAAACTTATTATTGTAATTATAGCATAGGAGTAATTTATGAAATTATGATTAATTGAAACAAAATGAAGACCTCACTAGATATCTTTAATAAACAAGACTGAAACACATGTACACTTTCATGTATACATCTTAACACATAGAACAACATGTCTAATTTACTCTATACCTAATGCAGACAAACTGCAAAGGTATAGTTCCAAACGTAGAAAGATGTGATAAAAGCACTCCAAAGGTGTTGGGATATCCCATCTAAAAAGTATTTATCGAAAGCTTGTGAACATTAGCAGATATACACAACAAATACTGCAAGAGCCTAAACTCACAATGTCTCGTGTCCAGTTATCAGTTGTTGGCATTACAGTGACTCACTTATGTCTATTGATGATATATTTATTATATTTATTTGTTAACTGCAAGATCGGGAGAAAATGAACATTAGTATCGTCAGTCAGGACATAAGCAAATACTACAGGGTGATTTCCACAATTAGTGTATTTTTAGATACCTTCGTTCCAGCATTATATTGTAACGTTTGACATTCATTGAAGAAGCATATTTCTACTTTTGATATGTTTCTATTAATAGTAATATAGATATGTACAAATACATTTAATAAAAACACGTGAATTTAATATTCTAATGCCTGGTTTACCTACCTCTTCTAATAGTTAGGTCCCAAATGGTTCCATTAAGTGTGTAATAGTCTCACGATTTTCAATATGTGCAATACTTTCTGTTGAAATTTGTTTTCTAAATAATACCTTTTTAGAATATAGATTTCTTACATTTAATAAATTTAGATAATCATAGTTTGCAAATAATTATAAATTATTTTTAATAGATAGACAAATTTGCTAAACACTTTTTCTCGTGCTTTTTATTAAATAAGCATCTGTGTCAGTAGAGTAAAATGTTTATCTGAAAGAATATTAGTACGATTACGTTTTTTTTACTTGTAACTGAGTGTATACGATAGTACTTACTCTGACATTGTGATTTATCAGTTTCGTCAGAGTACTATTACTTTGGAGACTGATTGGATGATACTGCATAAAATCGATCTATTTTTGTGGGAAACATAATTATAGTTGCTTTTCATTGCAATTCTTTATGTACTCTAGCGTTACCAGGTGAGGAAAGATTAGCTTCAGGTACTTGTGTTAGCGTAAGTTTAGCATCGCAGCCGTAATTAATATATCATCATAAAATTACTAATAATTAGTAACTTTTATATTTGTCATTTCAAGCAGTTTCATATTTGAAACAATAACAGTGAATTCTGTCCTTACTTTGATATATATTTATTTTATTACCATGAGTCCGAATTCATGAGTTGCAGCAACAATCCTAAAAATGAATTTGAAACCCAATCTATCTATCACTCGATTCACTAGTTGTCAATGAGTTATACCATTTTTCGGAGAATTCCACCCCTTATATTTGTTTTTAAAAATGGTAGTGTCAGTGATACGTGTTCGAACCCTATATAAATATAAGTTTACTGTCGCGAGTAAAAGACAACTCAAAATACTATATATATATAATTAAACAATTTTGATATTGCTGCAAATATTAACGAATGCCATAAATAACGAATAACTAATCAAACTAACCGATAAGTAAAACACTATGCTCTTTCTTTTTAAGGTCTGGACACGTATGAGATTCCTCCAGACAGTCTATAGTAAACACATAGAATTGTATTTCAGGACTTTTTCTGACTTAATAAATAACATTCTTTGTTGAGGTTTGACTTTCACACGCGTTGTTTGGGCACAAAATGTCTGATACAGTATATCATGGTAATATGATACCTAAAACCCATTAAGATCTTCATTTATTTTTTCAATATTAGTTTCAAGTAGTTTTGATTATTGTGTAATCATTTTCTTATCTTTGATAGCAGTTTGCAGAACAAAATATCTTAGCCCTTGTTGTCTGATGGAAAAGTTTTGTTTTTGTTTTTTGCTGCTCCGATGCCCTCTACAGGATATGTACTAGTCCCTGTTTTATTCAGTGCAACCGAAGTATTAACTTACGTATAGGATACATCCCATACATAATGTTTGTACATTAATAATTATAAGTACCATTCTTAGTTGGCTGAAATTCCCTAAAGATAGTTTTGTGCTATAGTTAAAGTTAGTCCGAACCCAAATACTAATATTAATCGCACTTGCATTTCCTTTGCGTTGTATTTTAATTATTTTATGACCGACTACTTTTACATTGGCAACATAGAAAAGTTGATAACTGCGTGGTAGTATAATGCGTTTTTCGTTCATTTTCAACTTTGCATCTATTTCGTGTTGGAGTTAACCATGTCTGCTATTTATCATGGATAAAAGCTATTGACAAAAACGCATATAACTTGACGCCTCAAGCACAAGACACGTGTAAAAAATTTAGTTAGGTTTCTATCATGCCTTACAACTTGGTAAAAAAATGTCCAGAAAAAGTAATACGTTTTCATATCATAAATAGTTTTCTTTCTTGGAGACCATTCAGTAGTGATGTTGAAATGTTTCTAATATATAAACAATGATACGCTAGAACAAGTCTTAAGACGACTTTTTATTTACTGAGAATAAAAACAATTATTTGTCATAAAAACCAATGTTATGCAAGTCAGGTACATTTTGCTAATTTTCCAATGGATGGTATATGTATAACAAAAAGATATAAACTAAATACTTTAAACTGAAATATGAATTATTAAATTGCTTAAAATTCGATAAAAGTAAGTGCT